GGGTTAGAGTGAATATGATTCCATAAAATAGAATAACTAACTAATTTCTGGGAATCATCCTCTTTTTGCATAAAAAAGTATTAGTCAACCCTTCCTGTTAGTAGTTTCTCATTGACAATAATTACTCTAGAAGTCCATTTTCCCATTACTTGACTGATTATGCTTCTTGGAACATTTTCTCTTATTTTTTAAAATAAAATTTTGGGCCTTTCTAAAGACCTAACAATGAGAATATAGTATTGTCAAACATTCAAACACAGAACGACGATTGTGATTTATATATATATATATATATCTTGCTAGGAACACCAATGAATGCGCAGAACCCTAAGTCCAGGCCTCTGGTAGGGACAAGTTAGAGGCGGGATAACGCGGGGAGGGCAAAGGTGAGTGGACAATTTTATTATTATATATTTATATATATATATATGAATATCTATTAGTGCTGTCCAAATAACGCGTATGAACGCGTTAAACGCAAATCAAATATTAACGGCGTCATTTTTTTATTGCCCGAATTAAAAAAAATTGCGTTTGCAGAAAAACAATATAAAGAAAAAAAATAGAACAAAGAAAGGACTAGTTCGATACATTGTAGCCAGCGATAACAAACAATATGTCGTTGGAGATACAGGGGGCCAAAGAAGAAACCAGAAGGGCTCCTAGGAGGAGGGTGGGGCCATCGAAGTGGGAGATGGGGGGTGAGGGGTTAATAAAAAGGCAATCAAGCAAAACCGAATACAGTCATAGATATACCGAAAGTAAACAGAGAAACAGCATAGAGTATTTACATGCACAAATTTACAAAATATTAAAAAAAGCATTTGACAACAGACGCCTATTCACTTTTTTGTAGTATTCAAATGATAATTCAAGGGACTTAAGAATAGATACAAATGTGTGACTAATATGCGATTATCGCGAGTTAATATGAATTCATGCGATTAATCGCGATTACATATTTTAATCGTTGGACAGCACTACTTATAAAAAATTACTAGTATTAACACAATAAAATAACAAATAAAATATAACATATAATATACATATAAATATATTAGAGCTGTCACGATTAAAAAAATTTAATCGCTGTTATAATCGTCACAGAATTTCCTAGTAAACTCTCGATTAATCGCAAATTAGTCACACTTTTGTATCATATTCTTTATGTCCCTTGATTATCATTTTAATACTACTAAAAGTGAATAGGCGTGCTGTGTGCATTGTTTTTTTACTATTTAGTTAAAATTTGTTCATCGTATATACTCTAAGCTGTTTCTCTGTTTACTTTCGGTAATTCTATGACTGTATACTCGTTTTGTTTTTTTTTTTTTTTTATTTTTTTTTAACGTATGTATTGCCTTTTTTATTAACCCTCCCCCAATCTCCACATCATCGTCCCCCCCACCTCATATGTGCCTTATGGGTTTTATTTGGCCCCTGTATCTCCAAACTCATATTGTTGTAAACTCTGTACAATGTATCTGAATAGTCCTTTTCTTTGTTGTCTAATTATTTTATGAATATGTGTTTGTCTGCAAAGCATTTTTTTTATCGTGCATAAAAAATGAGCCGTTAATATTGATTTGCGTTTAACGGTTATATAACGCGAAATTTGGCCAGCAGAATTATATACCTATATATATATATAAGTATAACTATATATAATAAAATAGTCTCTCTTTGGCCTCCGCGGGGCGGGTTATCCCTCTCTAAGCTTGGGTCCTCTACCAGAGCATGGGAGCATGAGTGGTGCTTGCGCAGTATCTTTCTGTTCCTAGCAAATATAAATAGAATATCTAAATCACAGTCTGTCGTGTCTGTGTTTTGAAAGTTTTGACATATTATTATCAATTGTTTAGGATTAGAAAGTCCCAACAAAATTAGTTTAAAAAACACGAGCAAAAGTTGCCGAAGATATCAGTCAAGTAATGGAAATTGACTTTCTAGGGAGTACATATTTGAAATGAGAAACATATCAACTGGAATGTTGACTAGATACTTTTTTATGCAACAAAGAGAGGATTCCTAAATTAGTTATTTTTCTATTTTATGGAATCATATTCACTCTAAACCAACTTCACATAAAAGTTGTTTCCTAATTGTTTCGACACAGTACGAAGGAGGAGACAGGACACACTTCTGACGGTGGAGCAGATTTCTCTTTTTTCATGTCCCAACAGCGAATTCACATAGACTAATGCGGGAGAAGGACAGACTTGCATTGATGTGAGACAGAGCAGTACAACATGCTGACAACTAGGTCCCCTCCTTGTATAGTAGGAAATTGGTTCTCTCTTTATGGTGATTATTTTTGTACCAGATACACAGGTTAGTCTGGGATAAATATCATCATCTTTGCACCTCTGTGAGTTTAGGGGTTCAACCCTTATTGACAAGGAGTGCAGTGTATAACATCCTCGCCCACAGGTGACTCCCTCCATATCATCACTCTCCCATCTGAATGCTTCACTTAACAAAGTAGGTGTGCAAGACCAGTGTATGAAGGTCTAATGTTGAGGTTCTGTACGTCGCACTGCCCTATTCATTCGCTCCAAAGATGCTCCACATGCTTTACGGGGCTGCGTTATTTGTTCGCTCTGTGTGTGATATCACAGTAGAGACTTCAAAGGAAATGTCCAAATTAATACACTTCCAAGTGGTCATGGGACGGGCCGATCTCATTCATGTTCAGCGCGGTGTGCTGGTGAATCGTCATAGTAACGGGGCCCTTTATTATCCGTAGGGCCGTTCCACTCAGATTGACCCTCTTGAAGCCCCACTAATCTAGTCGGTCGGGGGTCACAGATTAGAAACCGTGCCCATCCCAGGCGTTAACAAGGTTTATGGTGGTCGGTGGACCCGGAACCCCATGTATTGTCCACCTTCGCATGACTGAAGAACACTAACCACCACTCAGAAAGACCAAGCACCTACCAGGAATCGAACCCTAGGCAACAAGATTCCCCCTCCTTCTATAACTCCCACCGTCCACAGATATCATTGTTATAACTATATATATATATAGAAACCGCCACCTCCCCCCCCCCCTCACACCAGTTTAATCACACCCTCTGTTCATCCACACTCTTATGTTAACAGTGGCACACAAATAAACCCATCAATACAAATATGCAATTGCACAAACCCCCATGTAAACCTAAACAACCTCCTTGTTAGTACCTAACTGCCCCTTAACCCCCATAATCCCCTTAAATCTTACCCCACGCATCACTACCCCAAACATATACCAAAATCTTAATCAATCAATCAACACAATACCACACCCCCCATAAACAAAACCCTATCAAAAACATAATACACATTCTAATAAAATATATTACCATACATCCAATACAATCCTTTTTAAACCACTCCACTAATTTACCCAATATTCCAAATAATTTAATCCTCCTCCCCCCTTAACAATATTCACACTAAACACCACAAACCAATTCACGCTCCTCAACAACCTACCAACACCAATACCCAACCAACACAAAACCACCCACCTCTTACAACATCTACCAACCCAAAACCAACAATTAACACAACAAAATACCTATCATCATACACTCCCCTTTTAAAATATTTAATAACTATCAACCACAAACACAAACTCTAAACCACATTCCCATAACCACCCCTTATTACCTTATTTACAATACCATTAACAAATCTCTATCATTCTTCTTCTATACTCCATCCAAAAACCCCTATACAATCCTTCGTATATAACCTACCCCCCTCCCCCCCATCCATCTACACAATCACCCATATTTCAAATCAAACACCAACTCCATCATCATATAGCCCCTTATACCTCTATTTCTATATCTAAACAAACTCCCATTATCAATTACTTACCATATTTCCCTAACAATCAACAATAACCCCATATTATCCATATTACTCATATAATCAAAATATCCTCCCTCATACAATGACAATTACACCCACCTCATCACTTCCAAATAACCTAAACTATAAATACACCCAAAATACATCATAATCCCTAAAACAATACAACATATCATCAATATCTATCTCAATCATACGCCAATATTCCCTAAAAATCAAAACCCCTTCTACCACACTTATAAACACTCCAATACAAACACTAACTAGAAACAAATAAAACATGACACTCAACAAATACCCTATATAAACAACCACCAAATAAATTACCATCACTTCTCCCATCACAATACAATTAAACCCCCCTTCACACACAACCCCCCCCCCCTCAACCCATCCCATAATAATACAACCCACCACCAACAAAAACCATAATAATAATAATCTTAATCTAATATCAATCTCAACCACACACAAAATTTACCCTCAAAAAATAAATACACTCTCTCTAAAAACCCCAACACACTACACATTAAACCAACAATACCCCCACATAAACCATCAAACCTAACCCATCTTAAAAACCCATCTAAACCCTCCCCTCACCTTACACTCACAAAAATCTCCCACACAATACTCAAAAACACACTACCTCAAAACCCTATCATACCTCCTACATCATCCCTCTCTTCCCTCCACCCCCTCACCATTACCTCTTAATCCCCCATATTCCCCCCACCCAAAACACTAAAACACATATTATGATAACATACATCCATCTGTTAAAAAACCTTTACCCCCATCACCCCATAACCCCAGATTTATTCCAAACCATTCAATATTTACTCATACTCCATAACCTCATGCGCTCCATATAATTAAACTACCATATGCCAAAGCCCACCTTCAACAATCTTCTAATAATTCTAGTAAATGTCTCACTCGTAACAAATTCCACAAACCTAGTTCTCTACTCATCCCCAACCCAACCTATTACCATAAGCCAATTTCTAAACCACAGACCACCCCGGCTACCCAGAAACATATGAAGCCACAACCAGCTGTGATACAGCTAGAAAAAATGAGTACGTTACTTAAACAAATATGCATCCCACACCTAAACCTATTAAATAGCTTTCACCATGGCCAACGATAATGAGGAAGTAAGAAGCAAAATTTAATGACACTCTGAAACCCCAAGGTTATGATCCCAACAATACCATAAACAGAACTATAATCCCTGCCTTGTACACAATCATGCTACCTAACAAAAATCTAAACGAAATTCGCACGATGATAATTATAGACATCGCCAAACCGAATTGTACCCCCAAGTGTACCCCTAATAGGTGAGGGATAACCTCTGAAATCAATTCATATACTTTCCAACCATCAAAACAATCCAAAGGTCATCAAAATCCTAATATTATTCATCTAATTGATATTGATATTAACAAAAACAAATAGCCACGGGCAACCTCAAAATGAATCAGAAAGCCTTTAATTTAGTTATACCGCTCGGTTATACTTTTGTTCCTTAGCTATAGTACCACATCGGCTTGTTGTAAATAATCCATTGTTGTTAATCCAAAGTACCTATGGACACAAATCATGTGTAGGAAAGAGAACTTAACCAAACTCTATGTTCCGCACAACTGATGATTTGCCGACTACTTATAGTCTGTTTGTATTTTGGTTTCATAAAACCACTACCCCAATGCAGAAACACAGCAACGGTGGCTGAGTGGATACGCACTCTTGATTTCAGCCAGAAGGCTGGGTACGAATCCTGGACGGAGCAGGCTTTGGTGTGGAGTTTGCGTGTTCTCCCTGAGCCTGCGCAGGTTTCTCCAGGTGATCTGTTATCCGTAATAAAACATAGTTTACCTAGTTGTCTGGTCGCTGTTTACAGTGACACGTCTGAGAAAGCTTTAGTGGATCAGAATGGGTCAATGCAGAGGAGAAAACTGCCCTACGGGATTAATAAAGTGCCCCTTTATTGAAAAACTGACATGCACACAGCTGCTTGGAACATGAATGGGCGAGGCGGTCCAGTGCCAGCTTGGACGTGTATTAATTTGGACACTTTCCTTTTGAAGACACACATATTGAAACATACACATGGGAACAACTAACGGCAGCCCCGGAAAAAGATGTGGGGAACTTTGAGCGACATGATGAGAGAGGGCAGTGCGACCGATAAAGAACGCAACTATAGACCTTCAAAGAGGTCTTGCCAACTACTTTGTTAAGTGAAGCATTCAGAATGGGAGAGTGATGAAACAATAGGGGAGTCACTGTGGGGTAGATGTTTAGAATGCACTCCTTGTTACAATTAAGGGGTTGACCCTACGTCAAAGAGGTGCCAGATGATGATAATTATCCAGAACTAGACCGATGATCTGGAACAACAATAGATCACCAAGAAAGAGAGATACACTTGCCAACAGACAATTCTGGACCTATTGACCAGCAGTGTTGTATGGGCATGTTCTCACATCAGTTGAAGTCTGTATTTCCCTCATTAGGACTGAGTAATCGCTGTGCTGGGACATGAAAGCGAATCTGCCGTCACGCAGAATGTGTGGCTGGGTTCCTCTTCGTCACCAGTGTCGAAACAATTAGGAACTACTTTTATGTGAGCGTTGGGTTAGAGTGATATGCTTCCTAACATAAGAACAAAAATTAACATTATGTCGGAAACCACTCTTTTTGCTTAAAAAAAGGAATCAAGACAACATTCTGTGATCGTTTCTCATTGACAAATAATTCTCTAGAACAGTCATTTCCCATTACCTTGGACTGATTATGGTTCTGGCAACTTTTTCTCTTTTTTTTAAAACTAATTTTTTGAGGACTTTCTAACCTAACAATGTGAATAATCGTTTGTCAAAAAATAAAACACAGACACGAAGATGTGATTTATATCGTCTCTTTATATCGTGCTAGGAACAGCAAAGATACTGTGCAGAAACCCTCAGCTCCCAGGCCTTGGATAGAGGCACCCAAGCTTAGAGAGGGATACCGCCCGCGGAGGCAAGGTGAGTGGACACTTTTATTAGATATAGTATATATATATAGTATATATTGTTAATATATATTAGAGCAGTCCAAATATAAGCGTTATTAAAGCGTTAAGCAAAGTCAAATATTAACGGGCGTTCATTCTTTTTATAGCACGATTCAACAAAATTGCGTTTTGCAAGACAACACCATATACAGAAAAAAAATAGAAACAAGAAAGGACTAGTTCAGATACATTGTAGTCAGAGATTACAAACAAATTGTAGGTTGGAGATACCTGTGGGCCAAAGACGACAACCCAGAAGGGCCCCAGGAGGGAGGGGGGGGACATGAAGTGGGAGGGAGAGATGGGGTGGATGGTATAATAAAAAACCGGCCCTACAAGCCAAACCGTATACGTCATTGACTATACGAAAGTAAAACAGAGAAACAGCATTAGATTATTTACATGAACAAATTTACCCAAAAGATATAAAAAGCAATTGCACACAGCTCGTAATCAATTTATAGTAGTATTCAAAATGACTAATTCAAGGGACTTAAAGAATAGATACAAATGCGGTGACATAATTTGCGATTAATCGCGAGTTACTATGAAATTCATGCGATTAATCGCGATTAAATATTTTAATCGTTGGACGCACTATATAAATATCTGTACTATGTATATATCTATATATTATAATATATATATTTTAGTATTATATTAATTTATACTATAACTCTATTGTGTGTCCAACGATTCAAAAATGTAACATCGCGATTAATCGCATGAAATTCATAGTTTAAACTCGCGATTAATCGCAAAATAGTCCCACATGTCTTAATCTTTATGTCCTTGAATTATCATTTTATATACTAAAAATTGAAAGGCGTGCTGTGTTGCAATTGCTTTTTTTATATTTGTAATTTGTTCATGTAAATAGTCTATGCTGTTTCTTGATTACTTTCGGTAATATAAGACTGTATACTGTTTGCTAGTATTGCACTTTTTATTAACCCTCCACCCATCTCCCATTTTCATGTCCCCACACCTCCCTCCTATGTGCCTTCTGGGTTTCTTCTTTGGCCCCTGTATCTCAACTACATATTGTTTGAATATTCTCTCGTCTACATGTATCTGAACTAGTCCATTCTTTGGTTTCTATTTATTTTTCTGTATATGTGATTGTCTGCAAACGCAATTTTTTTATCGTGCATAAAAAAAATGACGCGTAATATTGTTTGCTTTAACGCTTTAAAACGCGTTAATTTTGCGACTTAGCAATAATAATCGTTATTCATATATATATATATATATAATATATATAATAAAATTGTCCACTCACCTTAGGCCCTCCGCGGGCGGTTATCCCTCTTATGCTTGGGTCTCTACCAGAGGCCTGGTGAGCTCTGAGGGGTTTTGCGCAGTATCTTTTGCAGTTCATAGCATATATAATAGGAATATATAAAACCATCTGTGTGTCTGTTATTTGAATGTTTTGACAATAGCTTATCTTCACATTGTGTAGGTTCAGAAAGTCCCCCAAAAAATAGTTTTTAAAAAAATGAGGAAAAAAGTTTGCAGCAGCTCATCAGTAAGTAATGGGAAAATCGAGCTTTCTAGAGTATTATTTGTCAATGATGAAACATTCAAAAACTGAATGTTGACTAGATAACTTTTTATGCAAAAGAGAAGGGATCCCATAAACTTAGTTATTTTTCCTATTTTATGAATTCATCTCACTCTAACAACATCACATAACAAGATTGTTCTACTTGTTTCGACACAGGACGCAAGGAGGAGACAAGGCAACATTTGCCGGTGGCGCAGATTCTCTTTCTTGTCCCAGACCCAGACAGCGATTCATCAGATCTAATGAGGGAGAGAGAATGATTGCATGAAGTGCGAAAGAGTCAGTCACATGCTGTCATTAGGTCCGAATTGTCTGGTGGCAATGGTAATCTCTCTTTTCTTGGTGATCTATTTTTGTTCCGATCAATCAGGTCTAGTCTGGATGATACTTTTCATCACTCGTGCATTGTGACGTTTAGGCGTCACCCCTTTATTTGACAAGGAGTGCATGTACTAAATCTAGCCCACAGGTGACTCCCTAATTTATCACTCTCCATTCAGAATGCTTCCTTAACAAAGAAAGTAGGTAGTGGCTAGCCACGTTATTTATTTATTACATACAGTAAAGAAAGATGTTGCGGTTTGGAAGTTAGATACCCCAGCTTTAATCGTGTCTCATACCCCTCTCTGACAGCCACTTCTCGTCCGGCTCTTCCTCTCTCCGTCCACGAGCCTGTGCGCTGCGTGTGCTCCATGCAGGGCACCGGCTTCTCCCTGCCCCAGCGGCGTGGGAGGGCGCCCCCCGCTGGCCAAAGTGGTGACCGGAGACATCCTGGTCGACATCACAGGGAGGAACGTGTCGGAATACCTGCTCTACACCTCCGACCGACTGCGGCTGCACAGGTGAGAGACGGACACTGCACAGACTCCAATCAGAGAAATTCAATGTGTTGGCAACGTATTAATCGCATTTTTTCAAACAAACTTGTGAGATTGCAGCAACTTGCTTTATGTTATATACATGTTATAATAAAGATTCTATTTGAAAAAAACACCATATATTTATATCATTATATGTTGTCCATAAATGTTATAGACATTTATTTACATTGATAATCCCGGAACAATGGCTGTTGTGATTTAGGGCTGGATAAAAATAAATTGAAGGTATAATCTGTTGTCCAAGACCTGCTGCACTTAATATGACTGGATACTACCCTCCAGTCCTACTAAGAAAAATTAACCCCATCAAGATAATTCCTCCACACTTCAGGCATGTGTTTTTCTCTGTAAAGAACTTCATTGATTTCATTGTGACCTCTGACCTCTGACCTTGTGCTTTTATTTCATTCATGCGGCCCCAGTTTCAATCTAGCATTGTTTTTTTTCTTGAACAAGGCATCTTTATTTGCACAGCACCATTGATACACAAGGAAACGCTAAATATATACAAAATAAAGTAAAAATTAACACCTTAAACATTGGTCGAACAGTAAACTCCTACAGCTACAACTCCCACTCGCCCCTCGTCGCTGGAAAACCATTGAAATCATTTTAACTATTCCCCAAAAGTGTAAACGTGTGCGGAATGCAAAGATACATGTATGTAAAACGCAGGAAAGACACAAGAATAATTATCTCAATAATACATTGTTAATGCTGTGATTTAACTACAGTCGAACCTGGACAAAATCGCACACACAAAAGGACATAGTTCAGGCATTCTTTAATTACTTAGTTGCCTTTCCAAGGAGAAGTGAGAGACACAACAGAGATGGCTTTGTCTCTCTTTTGTTATAGATATTTAACATAGCAAGGCGGTATATTAATAAAGATGACTTACTTACTCTCTGTTTCCAACACCAGATCTAACTCAGGCAAGACTGCTAACTCCTTTTGAGAGTACATAACACACCTCCATTTGCAGATAGGAAAGGAAGAACTAACATTTACGAGCCCCCAGACTTCCTGAAGCCAAAATTAATTACAATACAACCTTTCAGTATACAATACATATTTTAGCCAAATGTAAATTATTAAAATGATAACTAAAACAACATTCCAATGTCATACACACAAAGCACATTTATGTTTAACCAGATGTGTTGCTTCTTGTGTTTCAGATACGGAGGTCTGACTGTGGGGAACATTCAGAAGTCTGTCCCTGCTGCGTTTGGGAACAAGGTCCCTCCACTGGTACGAAAGATCGCGGTCCGACGAGCGGCTCAGGTATTAGCAGTCCACCTACTCACTTATATACGTACACAAAAATACTACCATAAATTACAGTATCATTAATTTCTGTCGGTGTAGGACAAATGTGCAATTGTAGCCTCAGCCTTTGTGACATCAGCTGTAGGGGATAAAGTCATACACTGCAAAAAGTGATGACAAATAAGTTAAAAATTGCTCAAATGTAGCATATTTTGGGCACATTTTTACTGCCTTAACACAAGCTTTGCCAATGGGACAAAGTAAAATGATTTTGTTTTAACAAGATACAAGAAAAGTCTCTGTTGGAATGAGAAAAAATGCAACAGTTCTTGAATTAAGACTAAATGGCTTTGTCCCATTGGAAAATCTGGTTTTAAGACAGATTCACAGATCACAAATCACTCAGATTGTGCAAAAGACAGAAGTGTGAAACATGTTAAAAAATAAAAATATAGTCTGTGCAGGATATGATTATGTACAATAAAAAAGTGGCAATAAAAGAAAGAGTGGCAATAGTGGTGCAGGTTTTTTTTTTTCAGTCCTCGTTAGTGACTTAAAGTAGCTTATTGTACAGTCTGACAGCAAATTAAGATTATTATTATTACTTCACATCACTTATTGCAGAGTCTGTAAAACCTTGTTTGTGTGGCAGGTGCTGTACAATAACAAAGGCTACCACAGCATGCCCACTTACCTGAACGTGCTCAACAACGCCATCCTCAGAGCCAACCTGCCGCCGTCCAGAGGAAACCCGGCGGCCTACGGTGCGCTCCGTCTGTCAGAATCAAAACAATCTCTAAACAATAACATTCAAACTGGAGAGAGATCTATGCATTTTTGCTAAGATAAGGTCCTTCAGATGAAAAATGCGTTTATACGCTTATGGCCATTTTAATGCTCAAAAAAAAAAAAACTGTGTCATAGACAGTGGTGGGAAAAACCGATTCTGTTCAGTATCGCGATATTTTGCGTACTCAATGAAATCAATACAGTAGAGAAAGTACAGTATTGTGTTTTCTCTCAGTTATCGCTGAGGTGATCATATACAGCTGAGATTTATGTTATTCTATTTTGTCTGCTTTTTGTGAGTCTTGTCTATTTGAATAATGTAAGTGATGTGCAGGGAGCTCACCGTTCATGTGAGCGGCCGCCTTCAGAGAATATTTCTGTCTTGTCTGTAATAAGGTCCTGTGTCCTGAATGTTCAAGGATAAGGTTTTTCACTTCTCTCATAAGTGTTTGCTTCAGTTAATGTGCAGACCTTGATAAATATGACGTCTGAGTTGAGTCTTATTGTCCTACATTTGCGTAATGCCTTTGAATAATATGAGGAACATGAATCGCAATATTTCACAGAAAATCGCAATACTTGCTTTATCGCAGTATGTTAATCGCAATCATTTTGAATTGTGGTCAAAGTACTATCGCAATCGTCACATTATTGTCATTTCCCACCCCGAGGTGACTTACTAGAACAAAGGACATTACTGTACGTTTTCTATTGTATGTAATGTTGGTGAATTACTCCAAATGATTGATTTGTGGATTCTTTTCTTGAAGGCATCACGCTGACTAATCACCCAATGAACCGGACCAGCGCCAGTCTGTCCTTGGACTATCTGTAGGTTTCACTTCAACACAACGTCATTGTGTTTACAAACATAGATACATTTAAAGGAGCAGTATGTATGTAAAAATGTGGCTAAGGCTGAGTTTACACGGAGACAATGTGGCAGTAAAACGGTATAGTTGGATATCGGTTGCTACCAACTGCAACTGTTATCATTATATTATATATTATTAATATACATGCATGAGAAAACTAGTGCTATTTTATTATAAGAAACTGGAAGGAACTAGTTTTAGGATTTAATTACTAGTATATAGCACCATTTTTTGTGCTTTGAAAAGTGAGGACATCCATCCATCCATCCATCTTCTACCCTTTAATCCATTTCTGGGTCAGGGGGGTGGCAATCAGAGATGCCACCCAAGTCTCATAGCACCAGCCCCTCACTGACCCTCTGCGGGTGGTGAGTCCACAGGAGCTGAGATCTTCCAGCAGGGGCTTTGGGCAAAGTGGGGTTAAGCGTCTTGCCCAAGGACACAACAACAGCAGTCATCAGTGGGAGTCGGTGGAGAAGGTGTAGAGGTGGGAATTGAACCCACGACCTTCTGGCCTTAAGGCCAATGCTCTACCAACTGAGCTACTGTTCAGTTGGTAAAAAAGTGAGGACAGATGTTACTAAAATCAATAGGCTCAAAGTGTCGCTGCTGTGGTGTTTAAGGCTGCAGGGCACAGACGTGGTCATCGCCATCTTCATCATCGTGGCCATGTCCTTCGTCCCTGCTTCCTTCGTCGTCTTCCTCGTCTCAGAGAAATCGTCCAAAGCCAAACACCTGCAGTTTGTGAGCGGCTGCGACCCGGTCATCTACTGGCTCTCCAACTACGTGTGGGACATGGTACAGACACACACACGCACACACACACACACACACACACTGACTCTCCAACTACGTCTGGGACATGGTACAGACACACACACGCACACACAGACACACACACTGACTCTCCAACTACGTCTGGGACATGGTACAGACACACAGACACAGACACACACACACACACACACTGGTTCTCCAACTACATCTATGGTGCAGAGACATACACATAGACACATGTATACACACACATACTTAAACACACACACACACGCACAGGCTTTCTGCTAACCACTATTTGAGGATCATGATTTAAGAGATCCTTTATTCGTCCCACCATGGGGAAATGGTGGGACGTCACAAGTGCACTACAGAGCCGTAAGATTGAGGAACACACAACGCAACACACAACACAAAATAATATGTATTTTTATCACAGAGCTGTAATCATATCTGCTTCCAAAGGCGTCACTCTGTCTCTGTCTGCAGTTGAACTACCTGGTCCCAGCCACCTGCTGTGTGTTCATCCTGTTTGTGTTCGACCTGCCGGCGTACACGTCCCGGACCAACTTCCCCGCCGTGCTCGCCCTCTTCCTGCTCTACGGGTCAGACTCCTCTTCATCACCTCTTCATTTCAGACCCAACAGTTTTGTAAAGTCTAGATAGCTACTGTTGTGATTTAGGGCTATACAAGAATAAAAATGAATTGAATTGAGCTGTACTATGCCTGTTCTGTGGCTGGTCTCCGCAGCTGGTCCATCACTCCCATCATGTACCCGGCTTCTTTCTGGTTTGAAGTCCCCAGCACGGCCTACGTCTTCCTCATTGTCATCAACCTCTTCATCGGAATCACAGCCACGGTCGCCACCTTCCTCCTGCAGCTGTTTGAACACGACAAGGTCAGAGTCCCGAATACACAGCTCCCTTTCACACAAGCGTTCACAAAGAGCTCTCCTCTCTTCTAGTTGAATTTTAGATTAAGATTAAGTTATCTTTAATCCTGATCTTAAATTGGACTAGGAGAGTGATCCAGTTTCCCACTGATCGATCACGAGGCAACTCGAAAGCATGAAGGAGGACACATAACAACTGCCCTGGGACTACAAATGGAAAATAGCCCTTAGGCTAATTCTGGCATATTTACATGTACAATGTATATTATTACGCACTGTCCCTTTAATAAATCAATAAATGTAAACCCTGGTGCGCGCAGATTGAGGTGCGATTAATTTCTAGCAACAGGATCTAACCATTTCCACTCCGTTTACACTGGCATGTGACCGGACACTACTGAGACAAGGGCCAGCAGATGCATTTAAGATTAAGAGATCTTTATTTGTTCCATTGGAGAAATTTCAGGGTTGCATCACCATATAACACTTTAACAGAAATTCAAATCTCTATTTTTATCATTTAAAAAAAGTATATGTCTTAAAGAAATTACACATACAGTATATTGCGTATAAGAACACAGGGAAAGATAGATACTTTATTGATCCCCCGTTGGAGAAATTCAGGTGTCCAGTAGCAGAAAAAATAAAAAATACAATTGATAATTCTAAAAAGTTAACAATAGTAATAATAAGCAACAGCCCTTCAGGTCACAGCAGCAGAGGTGGAGTAGCCTCTGGGTGGAGCAGGACAGGTCACAGCAGGAGAGGTGGTGTAGCCTCTGGGTGGAGCAGGACAGGTCACAGCAGCAGAGGTGGAGTAGCCTCTGGGTGGAGCAGGACAGGTCACAGCAGGAGAGATGGTGTAGCCTCTGGGTGGAGCAGGACAGGTCACAGCAGGAGAGGTGGAGTAGCCTCTGGGTGGAGCAGGACAGGTCACAGCAGGAGAGATGGTGTAGCCTCTGGGTGAAGCAGGAAAGGTCACAAGGTGGAGTAGCCGCTTGGTTCGGAGCCTAAAGCCTCTTTGGGTGTCTTGAAAAGTGCTATATAATATACAGTGGGGCAAGTATGTAGTCTATCACCAAATGCACAAGTTCTTCCTCTTGAGACATGCTTGTACTTTGTTCGATAGGGAATTATGAGACAAAATGAGGAAAAAAAAAATCCAGAAAATCACATTAAAAAATTTATTTGCAGATTAGGTACTATACACTTTATACTTTAATACGTTTCAGATTAAGATCATTTCTTGAGTTTTATTCTCTGATCTGTGTTGGCAAACTCCACGGTTTGTTAAAGTCCTCTGAGATAACTACTGTTGTGATTTAGGGCTATACAAGAATGAATTGAATTGAATTAAGATTAAGAGATCCTTTACTCGTCCCACAGAGGGGAATTTTCAGTGTTGCATCACCGGTTACGGAACTGTAGGAATGAGGAGCACACAACACAAGATAAATAAACAATAACTCTTCACTTATATACATTGTTTTCTGTAAGTCTTCACATGGTTTTCCCACACTGTTGCTGGGATTTTGGCCCATTCCTCCATGCAGACCTCTTCTAGAACAGTGATGTGTAACCAATTCAACATTATCAATTAAGAATGAGTGAATGAGCCGGTGAGTGGTGACGTGTGTGATTAGGGCTCATTTGTCTTTGTCGCCAGCTTTTGTCTGGACCTTGGTGTGAGTCTTCCTCAAGTCCTAAGTCGTGTTCTCTGTGCGCAGGACCTGAAGCGTGTCAACAGTTACCTCAAGTCCTGCTTCCTGATCTTCCCCAACTACAACCTGGGCCACGGCCTTATGGAGATGGCCTACAACGAGTACCTCAACGAGTACTACGCCAAGATCGGTACAGAACCAGGGTCTTATAATGCGTAGAACAGTGTTTTCCAACCGGGGGTGTATAACTCGGGGGGTACTTTAGATGAAAACTTACAAACATTAATAGTAAGAGGTTAAAATGGGCTTAAATGGCATCTTATACATTATTTTGAAGCTAATTACCTGAAGAAAACAACAACATAATTCATTCTATTCTAAAAATTATTTAAAAAAACAAAATACATATATTTTAACTAGTATTTCATGTGAAAGAAACACACGATGAAAGACAGATTTATGAAGTTAAATGAATACTTACGATTTTGAAGTTTTTAATGAGTAAAATGCTGAACAATGGGGAGTATCTAAGTATCTAAGTACCCCTTTCTCATTTCTTTGTTGACCTTTATTTAACAAGGAAAGACCAACATGTTCTTCTCTGAGACACAGGGAGAACATGTAACTCCTTTCAGAAAAGGCCCTGTCTGGAGGAGGAATCGATCCAGGACCTGCCATCATGCTAATTTTGGAATGATCATATGTTGACCCGAGTCATCAGGTCAGGTTTAGTCTTAGCAAAATGTCAAAAGTTAAACAGGGGGTTAAACATGTGGGAAGATATAATTAACTAGATTTGCCCCGTTGTGAGACTAATAAAGATATCATTGATTCATTTGAAGACTTTCTTGCACTTATGCGGCCCTCTTCTCTTCGCCCTCAGGTCAGTTCGATAAAGTCAAGTCTCCGTTCCAGTGGGACATTGTGACCCGGGGTCTCGTTGCCATGACGATAGAAGGTTTTGTGGGGTTCCTCATCACGCTCCTCTGTCAGTACAACTTCCTCCGCAAACCTCCGTAAGAGCAGCGCCTCCTTCTGCATCTCTGTGCTCCATACAGCCACAACTCTGTGTCACTCCTTCACATGGATACGTTTCAGAAAAAGTTCGTGAGGATACATTTCGTACATCAGTTTCTAGATCCCCTGATTAGGATTTGAGCAGTTTTCAAGTGGAACATGAGGCAGGAGCACAAAAACTAAATACCCCAGGTCACAGGTGTGGCACATCAAGGGTGGGGCAGGAATCAAGGACAGGAAGTAAACTAGAAGCAAGGGCAAGTAAAGGTGATTTCAAAATAAAACACAGAACAGGACAATCTGCAGTTTAAGTCATTTTGATTCTAGGCACAGTGGATTAGATTGATGTCGATCCGAATGGCAAATGTCACAACTTCATGTCATCAAGTTCAGAAAAAGGGAAAATGAAAGAAACACCCTCTCTCAGCAAATCAGCTCTCCCTTGTTACATCTGCACTCCTGATGAATTTCTAATCGGATGAAGATTTGTTCACAAAATATTACTTTTATGAGACTCTTTCTTTGGGGACAAACAAAGTAAAATGTATGAAACGAAACACAGTTAGAACCACTCCTGATAATTATTTTGTTCCACTACATTACAATAATCACCTGGTTTGGTGGCCTTTAGCTGCTGCTGTTAATATAAACTCATAGAAAGTCCAGTCTCAGTCAAGTACAATGCCCAAGTTTTTTGTAAAAAGGGAAAAAGTGAGAAGCGCCATTGCTCAGCCAATCAGATCTCAACCCTCAAACACTTTCACACAAGTAGGCAAAAGATGGTGGTTGGATTTGTTCACAAAATGTTACTTTTACAAGACGACGAAAGGCGGCATAAACACGGGGTTTGGTGGATTTTAGCTTCAGGTGGAAAGTGCAGTCTCTTTCAAGCACAAAGCATAACGTGAGGGGTTTGGTTTCCCTGGCTTTGAACTCTGCTGTATTTGTCTTCAGCCGTGTTCCGGTGAGCGTTCAGCCCATTGACGACGATGACGAAGATGTGGCGTGTGAGCGGAGGAGAGTCCTGCGTGGAGACGCGGACCAGGACGTGCTGAAGATACGGAACCTCACCAAGGTCCGAACTCAGACCTCTCTGTACAATGCAGCGTGCTCTATTTCGGCTAAATAATCCAGACTAGAATTACTGCGATAAGAGTTGTAATTTATGTTTAAAGATTGGGATTTTGTTTATTGCCCACATTGCGACTGAGGAGCATTGTTGAATATTATCCACAAAAATATGTATTTCAGAACTTCTAACATACAAATTACAGTACAAAGGAATAGCATATTCTACATACAGTAATACAATGGTTTAAGACAGACAAAACAAAACACATAACACACAGGCCCCAACACTGTCTGACCCTATACCTCTCTTCCACTACTCACTCTCTGCTTGAGGATTCACTCTTTGATTTTATTTTCAAAGGATAATGTTTTTAATTAATCTGATAGATCATTCCAAATAGTATCTCCACGCACTGAGAGACACCTTGATTTTAAAGTAGTCATATGTTTAGACCTTTTTTCTTTAATTATGGATCGCATCTCTCTCATGGAATAGCTGCAGAGTTTAGATGTCCTGGACACTATTTTATAAGTTTTAAAGTTAATCACATCCGTCAGTTTAAGTTATTTTCATTCTACGAGGAAGTGTGTATATGTCAAGGTCAAGTTTATTTCTATAGCTTTCTTTATTTCTTAAAGTGCTGCACAGTATAATACATCAAATACAAAAAAAGGCTATAGTAAAAACAGATCAACAGATATTACAACAGTGCAACGGCGCTTATTTGCCAAAGGCCAGAGTAAAAAGATGAGTATTTAATGAAGATTTAAAATGGGGATGAGGAAGTCTGGGTGTCTCTGCTTAGACTACTGCGGTGGATTCGAATGATATCTATAGTGGATATTAGTTACAATACTAATGGCCATATTTTAACACAATAATTCAGATATGACATTATGAACGAACGATACACGAAAAGTACAGAATTGGTGTTCAGTGAGTAGAGCTAGCACAAGTTACACATTCAAACACCAGGAAAATGACGGCTTCTATTTAGAGCCGAGCGGTTCACACAGTATCAAGAGCAGTTGTCAATCCCTAATGGCCAACACAAAACGCTAACAGCCACCTCAGTTTAAGGGAAGAAAAAGGCAGTAAGTTAAAGACACTTTGGTAAGAGTGAAGTTATCAGTCGCAATCTCTTTAAAAATGCAGACTATGTTGACGTCTGCAGGTGTACAAGTCTCGTAAAATGGGTCGTATCGTGGCCGTGGACCGCCTCTGTCTCGGCGTCCGTCCCGGCGAATGTTTTGGTCTGCTGGGAGTGAACGGAGCCGGAAAAACCTCCACCTTCAAAATGCTCACGGGAGACGAGAGCACGACCGGAGGAGAGGCCTTCATCAGCGGAAACAGGTCTGGACCACGGTGGACTTGGACAGGACAAGGACTGGGCCGAGACTAATCTGGGTTTTCAACAAAGAACAAAGATAACATCTAAAAACCAGGATTATAGAGAGCACTAACCCAAAATTGGTGACACTAATGAATACTGAGCTAGAGGAGTTTACTCATCAATGTAAGTCAATAAGAGCCAGAGCAAGTTGGAGCAAAACTTACTCCATGAGCACTTTTCTATTAGGCTTCATTGAACTTGCTGTTTAACTAGCTGTGACCAGGATTTAGGGTCTAATCCAGTGTCTCCTACAGTGTGCTGAAGGAGCTGTTGCGTGTTCAGCAGAGTATCGGATACTGTCCTCAGTTCGACGCCCTGTTCGACGACTTGACGGCCAGAGAGCACCTGCAGCTCTACACTCGCCTGCGGGGGGCGCCCTGGAGCGACCAGTCCAGGGTCAGTGATTGTTTTTGACGATGTATCAGGGTTCAGTCATTTACAGTATTATACCTATAGCTCAGTTTCCAATGACATTAGAGGTAACATACATGACTGTTATCCTAACTTCCCCCTTTCTCTTCGACTGGATTGACAAGACATTTTGTACCTACATTTGTGATAGTGCTTTGAACCAGAAAAGCACTCGCAGAGCACAGACCTCTGCCAAAGGGTCATCTAAAAAATCGTGATGATCCAAATTTTCCCATACATTTTTATATACTATATGTTGCTAACTAACTGACTAATCTACAGAGCGAGGCCTCGGTTCTTGCTCTGCAGCCCGTGTACTGGATCTATAGCCCGTCTGTCTGTGGGAGTGGATCCCTGACGTTTCTCACTTTTTCCCTCTAGGTTTAATTTATTTTATTTTTTTTGAGTTTTTCCATGCTGATGCAGGAAGGTGGTGATGATGGTTTTTATCATTGCATTTCTTGTGTTTGAACTAGTGCTGTCCAAAATATCGCGTTATTAACGCGTTAACGCAAATCAATATTAACAGCGTCATTTTTTTTTTTTCTTTTTTTTTTTTTTACTTTTTATTGCAGACAAACACATATACAGAAAAAAAAAATAGAAACAAAGAAAAGGACTAGTTCAGATACATTGTAGACAGAGATTACAAACAATATGTAGTTGGAGATACATGGGGGCCAAAGAAGAAACCCAGAAGGGCACATAGGAGGGGGGGGGGGTTAAAAAAGGCAATACAAGCAAAGAGTATACAGTCATAGATATACCGAAAGTAAACAGAGAAACAGCATAGAGTATTTACATGAACAAATTTACAAAATATTTACAGATTGTTTATCATCATCATAATGACACCATGATGTTTCTATACAGTCTATGGTATAGACCATAGACTGTATAGAAACATCATAGTGTATGGGTATAGACCCACACATACACACACACACCCACACCCATAAACACACACACTCCACACACATACACCCCACAGATAAGATAAGATATAAAGTCTGCCCGCCTGAGTTTCACCAAGCTAAGCGGAACCCAGCCAACATCAAAACCAAATCCGACACACACACAGACCCCCAAGCAGGCCCCCACCCCAAAAAGGGGGGGAGGGAGCCCACGCCCGGCCCATTCCCTCTCTTATTTTGTTCCTTTTTCCCAAGTGTTTTTCTTAACTAAACGTGTCATGCATTAAAATAAGCTTTCGCTTACCCTGACTTGTGTATTATCATTATATGCACATATGCACATATTATTCATGTTATTATTATATTTATCTACTTATTCATTCATTTTTTATTTTATTTTATTATTATTATTAATTTTATTTTATTATTTTTATTTTATTTTAATTAATTGTTTGTTTGTTTGTTAATTTATTCATTTCAGGCATTTCACATGAGGCAGCAGTCACCTCTTGTTCATCATAGTTTCCAACAAAAAATAAAAATAAGTAAAGCATTGCTAACATGCATGAAAAAATAAATAAATAAATAAAAATAAACCAAAATATTTGCCTGAAAGGGAGTAGGAAGAAAACTTATTTAATCCTACCCCCATAATATGTATACAACAAAAATGTGCTTCTTTGCGAGACAGGGCTATCAACAACTTTCGACTTCTGCACTATATTAACACAGAAAAGTTTGAGTATTCACATTGTGGAGTTACCATAGTAACGCATCAGAGTTACATATGACAACAGTAATACAGGACTAACAATGGTAAGAGACAATACCAGCAATGGTTAGAGACAATACCAGCAATGGTAAGAGACAATACAAGCAATGGTAAGCGACAATACCAGCAATGGTAAGCGACAATACCAGCAATGGTAACAGACAATACCAGCAATGGTAAGAGACAAAACCAGCAATGGTAAGGAATGACAAATACATGACACAAACACAATACAGAAGTAATTCAAGGGACATAAAGAATTGATACAAGTGTGTGACTAATTTGCGATTAATCGCGAGTTAACTATGAAATTCATGCGATTAATCGCGATTAAATATTTTAATCGTTGGACAGCACTAGTTTGAACTATTTGATTCTCTGATTTGTGATGGCGAATTCAACGTTTTTTGTTAAGTCCTCTGAGATAACTATGATTGATTTAGAGCTATGAAAGAATAAATTAAATTGAATTAATTAACAAACTCACTCTGATTAGGTCAATAGTTCTGTAGATTTGGATACTGCTACGTCCCTAATGCAGTTGCTCAAAGCCGTTGTAAGTGCGGACATCATGTTGCGTGTGTGTGTAGGTGGTGGAGTGGGCGCTGCAGAAGCTGGATCTGTGTGAATACGCAGACGAGCCGGCCGGGACGTACAGCGGCGGAAACAAACGCAAACTGTCGACCGCCATCGCCCTGATCGGCTTCCCCCCACTCATCTTCCTCGTGAGTTCAACTCCGAAAACGCCGCTGTTTGAACATCGAAGCAAACATCTCCTGTTCTCTCTCTCTCTCTCTCTCTCAGGACGAGCCCACCACAGGAATGGACCCTAAAGCTCGTCGGTTTCTATGGAACCTCATCCTCGACATCATCAAAACAGGACGCTCCGTGGTGCTGACGTCACACAGGTGAGTCCTGAACAAAAAGTCCACAGGTACACAGAGGACAGTGGTACTCAGGGCTATACAGGACTATATAGGAAACTGTGTGAAAATAGTGTCAAATCTGTGATAACGATATACGCTGCAATGTTTTCCTTCCCCTAAGAAATAACATTTTCATAGGTCATTAGAACTAGTGCTTTTTTTTTTTTTTACTTGGTTAACTTGGGGCAACAATACTTTATGCTAAACCACCAAACAATTGAACAGTCGACCAGTCATTAAAGTCAGTTTGAGTCTTTTGAAACAGATCTTTTCAGATTATTTCCCAATGTGAACCAGATTTGGTCCAGTTAAACCAATTAAGTGGCCAATAATTGTGAATGCACCCTTAAAGTCTTCCATTCTGAATTGGGTAACATGACCTCTCCATAGCCTCATTGGGTTTATGAGTTAAAGAGGACCAACCAGTCCATAAACAAGCATAGTTTTCGCAAAGCATGAAAACAGTAGATATTAAGAAGATTTAGAGGTGTTGTAACATAGTAAACACATGTATGTATATTTATGTGTCATTGTGTCTCATCAACAAACCCTTGGCCGTACATCTATGTTGTGAATAATAAGCGTGTCTCTATGTCCAGTATGGAAGAGTGTGAGGCCCTCTGCACGCGGCTCGGCATCATGGTCAACGGACGCTTCAAGTGTTTGGGAAGCATCCAGCACCTCAAGAACAGGTCAAGTCCTTGTGTAGTTCTTGGTCTAGACTTGGGCTCTGTCTTCCTTTTAGACTTGTTGTCGGTTCTGTATCCTAACAGAATGGTTTGCTATTCTGAAGTCCTGCCACTTCTGTAATTCAACTTACAATGTGAAACTAATATATAGCCGACTTTTGAGATATAACAAGCCTTCATTTAAAAATTCATTGTAAAAAAACACAGAATTAGCAAACGTCTCACTATTGTTTAAGGGCCAAAAATAACGGATCATATTTCTTTAACTTATTTGAGGACTTGAGGACTGATTCTAGGCTGGAGACTTGTTTTTTGGCCATCGTCGTCTGCTTCAAACCCGGTGAATCTGGCCCCTCTTTGGTCTGCAGGTTTGGAGACGGGTATATGATCACAGTGAGGACCAAAGCCAGTAACAATGTGAAGGAAGTGGTTCGCTTCTTCAACAGAAACTTCCCCGAGGCACTGCTCAAGGTAAACAGTTTGACTCTCCTCTGACGATATAAAAATAGCTCTGACTTGTGAAAATTATTAGAGGGGATTGATAGGACCCAGCTGTGCCAGGGTGAAGGCAGGTAACAAAAATTGTAAAATGAACAGGGAGGTAAAAGATAAGTTGCTAAAACCAACTGGGTAAAAATACAAAAGACAAATGGGATAACACCAGGTTACAAACAAAACAAGTTAAAACCATAGACTGTATATATTAACGGACGTAGTCACGCCTAACTCTGCCGTTTTAACTAATGGGCCAAAAAATAGTGCTCTACTGGAGCTATGCAAAATGGCTGCGAGTGGTCCCGTCCATAAGAAAATTGTGAAAAAACGCATCTACGCATGCGTCAGTCGGCGTGAGCTCCATTCATTTAAACTAATGACTTCAAAAATTCACAGCGAGTAAACTAGAGTGGTCCAAAAAAATCCACCCCCCTCAGCATTGACACACATGTGGAACGGAGCTTTGGGCCAAGAGCCAACTTTTGGACCATCCTGTAAAGGTGTTTTCCAGAGGTCTGCTAATGCTATATGTTAGCATTGACTAATTCTTCTTCTGGGTACACCCCATCGCAGGGACGTGCGGTGAGGTTTGTGATTGGGGAGGCACTGACTTTAACAGTCAGATTTACCATCATTATTCTAATAAAATAGCATTAAATCGTCAATGCAAAAATGTCCACAAACATTATATACTGTAAAGATAAGAACTAGCATATTATTAAAAATCCCACAACACATCTAGACGCTGGCTCTCCGCTCCGCATCAAACCAAGTCTTTGCGAAGCACAGGTGCGAGAGACGGGAGGAGGGAGGGAGGGAGAGAGAGATACGCAAGGAGCGACAGATACGCAAGGGGCGACAGAGAGACTCAAAGAGCGTGAGAGAAATAGATGCAAGGAGTGAGAGATGCAAGGGGAGAAAGAGAGACGCAAGGAGAGAGAGAGACGCAAAGAGCGTAATAGAAAGAGACGCTAAGATAAGAATTCCTTTAATCGTCCCACAGTGGGGAAATTTCGGTGTTGCATCGCACATATAGGACAGTAGTAAGAGCACACACAATATATACAAATAAGTAATAGCTATCATAACTAGCTGTAGATGCTGAAAATGCTTCAATACCAGTCAAAATATATATGTAGTAGCGCAGTTATACAGCGCCTTGCGAAAGTATTCGGCCCCCTTGAACCTTTCAACATTTCGCCACATTTCAGGCTTCGAACATAAAGATGTAAAAATTAATTTTTTTGTCAAGAATCAACAAGTGGGACACAATCGTGAAGTGGAACGAAATTTATTGGATAATTTAAACTTTTTTAACAAATAAAAAACTGAAAAGTGGGGCGTGCAATATTATTCGGCCCCCTTGCGCTAATACTTTGTAGCGCCACCTTTTGCTGCAATTACAGATGCAAGTCGCTTGGGGTTTGTCTCTATCAGTTTTGCACATCGAGAGACTGGGCAAGAATCCCAGTCTCTTCTTCCTTGCAAAACAGCTGGAGCTCAGTGAGGTTGGATGGAGAGCGTTTGTGAACAGCAGTCTTCAGCTCTTTCCACAGATTCTCGATTGGATTCAGGTCTGGACTTTGACTTGGCCATTCTAACACCTGGATACGTCTATTTGTGAACCATTCCATTGTAGATTTGGCTTTATGTTTTGGATCATTGTCCTGTTGGAAGATAAATCTCCGTCCCCGTCTCAGGTCTTTTGCTGACTCCAACAGGTTTTCTTCCAGAATGGTCCTGTATTTGGCTCCATCCATCTTCCCATCAATTTTAGCCATCTTCCCTGTCCCTGCTGAAGTAAAGCAGGCCCAAAGCATGATGCTGCCACCACCATGTTTGACAGTGGGGATGGTGTGTTCAGGGTGATGAGCTGTGTTGCTTTTACGACAAACATATCGTTTTGCATTGTGGCTAAAAAGTTCGATTTTGGTTTCATCTGACCAGAGCACCTTCTTCCACATGTTTGGTGTGTCTCCCAGGTGGCTTGTGGCAAACTTTAAACAAGACTTTTTATGGATATCTAAGAAATGGCTTTCTTCTTGCCACTCTTCCATAAAGGCCAGATTTGTGCAGTGCACGACTGATTGTTGTCCTATGGACAGACTCTCCCACCTCAGCTGTAGTTATCTGCAGTTCATCCAGAGTGATCATGGGCCTCTTGGCTGCATCTCTGATCAGTCTTCTCCTTGTTTGAGATGAAAGTTTGGAGGGACGGCCGGGTCTTGGTAGATTTGCAGTGGTCTGATACTCCTTCCATTTCAATATAATTGCTTGCACAGTGCTTCTTGAGATGTTTAAAGCTTGGGAAATCTTTTTGTATCCAAATCCGGCTTTAAACTTCTCCACAACAGTATCTCGGACCTGCCTGGTGCGTTCCTTTGTCTTCATGGTTCTCTCTGCGCTTTAAACATTTATACGGAGACTTGATTACACATAGGTGCATTCTATTTATCATAATCAGTCATTTAGGACAACATTGGATCATTCAAAGATCCTCACTGAACTTCTGGAGTGAGTTTGCTGCACTGAAAGTAAAGGGGCCGAATAATATTGCACGCCCCACTTTTCAGTTTTTTATTTGTTAAAAAAGTTCAAATTATGCAATACATTTTGTTCCACTTCACGATTGTGTCCCACTTGTTGTTGATTCATGACCAAAAATAATTTTTTTATATCTTTATGTTTGAAGCCTGAAATGTTGAAAGGTTCAAGGGGGCCGAATACTTTCGCAAGGCACTGTATACTGTACAGTTAAATAGTGCAGGATAAAAAGTATATAAGTAAAGTGACATGAGGTAAAGTGGCATTGTTCTGTGACATCCTGAAGTTGCAGTATTGCACATTGCACATGATTTAAGAATTTACTTAGTTACAGATTAATGAAATTTACAGGCTCAGCAGTTCTTATTGTACAGTCTGACAGCAGCAGGAAGGAAAGACCTACGGAACCTCTCCCTCACACAGCGAGGGTGAATTAGTCTGTCACTGAAGCTGCCCTCCAGAGCAGAGAGAGTGTCCTGCGGGGGGTGACAGTCATGGTCCAGCGTAGATGTTAGTTTGCTCAGGAACCTCCTGTCCCCCACCTGCTGCACTGTGTCCAGGGAACAGCCAGGACTGAGCTGGACTTCCTGATGACCTTGTCCAGCTTCTTCTTGTCCCTCTCTGTGATGCTGCTGTTCCAGCAGACCACACCGTACAAGATGGCTGATGCCACCACAGAGTCATAGGTCTTCAGGAGTGGCCCCTGCACTCCAAAAGACCTAAGCGTCCTCAGCAGGTAGAGGCGGCTCTGGCCCTTCTTGAAGAGGGCGTCTGTGTTATGAGTCCAGTCCAGTTTGTGGTTCAGATGAACACCCAGGTACTTGTAAGAGTCCACTCTCTCGATGTCCTTTCCCTGGATGTTCACTGGAGCTGGAGCGGCAGAGTGGCTGAGTGGGTAGCACTCTCGCCTCTCAGCAAGAAGGTCCTGGGTTTGAATCCCGGCCGGACCAGGGCCTTTCTGAGTGGAGTTTGTATGTTCTCCCCGTGTCTGCGTAGGTTTCCTCCGGGTCCTCCGGTTTCCCCTACCACTAAAAACATGCACAATAGGTCTGGCATGCGCCTCCTGTTCGGCGACCCCGCTCCCATCTCTGTGTGGAGTGAGAGGACCAATGCCCAAAAATAATAACAATTGTAAACCGCTTTGTGACTCTGGTCTGTGAAAGACGGTATATAAATAAAGATGACTTACTTACTTACTTCTGCGGAAATCCACCACCATCTCCTTGGTCTTCCCCGCGTTGATGAGGAGGTGGTTCCGCTGACACCAGTCCACAAAGTTCTGTATAACTCCTCTGTACTCAAGTCTGTGTTAGCAACTCGGGCAGAACTTCATGCTCACTATCATCCCTAGCGGTGAGGCACAGACACTGCCTGCCTCACGCTAGGCTTTTCCCATGTGTATTCTTCTCCGATCAAAAGACTTCAAATAATTATATATAGTACACACATACGTGCAATACATTACTAAACACTATGACAAGTTAAACAAATGTTTTCATAGCAGGATGTTGAAACAAAAAGGGATATATCAACAGCACGAGCTGAGTGCACTCACACACACACTATGTGGGAGCGAGCAATCTAGGGGGAGGCACGCAGGAGCGCTGCCTCACCTCGTCTCTTTGAATAGGAAAAATAGGATTTCAGCAATTTTGACTACAGAAATGATCAAAACTGTTCGGAAACAGGCCGAAAATAAGACAGTGGAAAACAATTATTTATTTTGACTATATTAATAATTATTTTTTCAATGATGGCAGGAGAGGCTCTGCCTCCCCTGCCTCCACGTCACTGCCCCATCGGCCCGGGGTGGTATTGCAAGCATGTCAGCGCATGTCTGGTTAAAACTAGTCCTGTGTAATATTATTACATGCCATAATAGTTGCACCCCATAGTTTTATGTTATAACCACCGTTTTATTGTACATAATTTTGAAATGCAATGCTTGGTTCCGCCAGCAGAAGGCACTTGGTGCTTTCACTAGTGGTTGCTGCCGGGGCAACGCTAGAAGTACAGTTAGTTAGTACTTAACGTGATGACACTGCACCGAGTGAGCTCCTGCATTCATTTTATGTGTTTTGCAGAGCCTGAATTAAATTTAAATGTGCTGCACATGAATGAGTTGGCCCATCATTCAAAAAGTGTAACACTAACATAGAAGCTGCCCCAATAAAAGCGTCACAAGTGTTACAAAAACAAAAATAAAGTCTCAACTGAAAAGGAGGCAGACCAAACCACATCCGTGCCAAACCACAGTGACACATCAGACACATAACACAGAACAAGGTGCATGCCCACACACGCTCACATACTGTTCACTGTTCACTGTGAACTGAATCACAAATGCAGAGTTCATATTTGTCTGTTTTCAATTTCCAAGTTTCCAACAAAGAAATGTTGTCATTTTACATTAAGGATTTAATACTAATAAATGACAAAAATGGAATCAAAATTTGCTGCACTCTGGTAAACTATAGTTGTATGTTACGGGCATTGATGCATTCAAACCTGGTTCAGTTCTGGTCCTGACATGGTCTCGTTGCAGGAGCGGCACCACACTAAAGTCCTGTTCCAGCTGAAGTCTGAGCGCTTGTCCCTGGCCCAGGTCTTCAGCAAGATGCAGCGCGTTGTGGATCTGCTCGGGATCCAAGACTATTCCGTGAGCCAGACCACACTGGACAATGTGAGTAGTCCAGGACTAATAAACTCAATACATGCATTGTTGTTTTTTGAGAAAAGCTAATAACTTTAGAGGTTCAATTAAAGATATGTTTGACTAGTAAACTCCATTCCATTCCTTCTTCCGCTTCATCCGTTGCCGGGTCGCGGGGGCAGCAGTCTAAGCAGAGACGCCCAGACTTCCCTATCCACACACACTTCCTCCAGCTCGTCTGGGGGGACCCCAAGGCGCTCCCAGGCCAGTTGAGAGACATACAGTAGTCCCTCCAGCGTGTCCTGGGTCTTCCCCGGGGCCTCCTCCCGGTGGGACGTGCCCGGAACACCTCCCCAGGGAGGCGTCCAGGAGGCATCCGGAACAGATGCCCGAGCCACCTCAACTGGTTCCTCTCGACGTGAAGAAGCAGCGGCTCGACCCCGAGCTCCTCCCGTGTGACTGAGCTCCTCACCCTATCTCTAAGGGAGCGCCCAGCCACTCTGCGGAGGAAGCTCATTTCGACCGCTTGTATCCGCGATCTCGTTCTTTCGGTCATTACCCAAAGTTCATGACCATAGGTGAGGGAGGGAACGAAGATTGACCGGTAAATCGAGAGCTTCGCCTTTCGGCTCAGCTCCCTCTTCACCACAACGGTCCGATACAGTGACCGCATCACTGCGCACGCTGCACCGATCCGCCTGTCAATCTCACGCTCCATTCTTCCCTCACTTGTGAAGAAGACCCCGAGATACGAGTTTACTAGTCACTTAGTATTATCAATATCAGTTTACTAGTCACTAATACCACAGTATATTCAGTGCTTCTGTTTTGTGTTGCAGGTATTTGTGAACTTTGCAAAGCAGCAGAGCGATAACCTTGATAACCAGCAGGAGGTAGCGCCCCCTGCTGCCGGACAGTCTCCTTTGCAGCGGATCCTGAGTCTGTTGAAGTCCCGCTCGGTCCAGACTGAACTGTCAGCTTTGATCAGTGACGCACCGGAGGAGATCAGTGACGACGAGGGGCTCATCAGCTTTGAGGAAGAGCGGGTCAGTCCATGTTCTGAGTCAGACCTGGGTTAGACCTGAGTTATACCTGGGTGAAAAAACAGATAGACACACTTCAATGCAACAAACTCTATTTTGATTTCTGGCTCCGCTCTACCACTGCTCTGATGAGCAGCTCTGATTGGTCAAAGCGCAGCCGAGCCCCTCTGTGCACGTGCATGAAAGCCACACACACGTGGCGCAATGCATCATGGGAGCTCGTCCACTGCACAGAACCGGTAGGACTAGACTATGCCCAAATATGGGCGAGTTCCTCTAATCTCTCCATGAGCACAAGCCATAATTTGAATAGGCCGCAATCTTGGATCACCGGGGCTTGGGTTTTCCATACTACAATAGGAGAACTCGCAAATATGGAAAACCTAAGGAAAACACAGAGACACTTGACAGTCTGTCCTCTGCTCACCTGCACAAGTTTGGTTTGCTTGATAAAGTGAAAGTAAAGACAACTTGAGTGTAAATGAGTTTCTTTACACTACAGAGAGAAAACGTGTGTCCCACTGTGTCTGGAAGTAACAGACTCATGTTTATATCATGAGAATGAAAGAGGACAAAACATGCAAAACCAACTTTAAAGGAGCAGTATGTGACAATCTGGCCAAAAGTGGTACTGCTACCTCTCAAGGTGCTTTCAGACCAATATCTTCAAAAAGCTTTTGACGTGCGTCAACTGACGGAGGGTTATTTTTTGTCATTTTGGTGCTTGAAGCTCCTGACGCGAGTGAAGCGCCTGACGCCGGTGGGAGGAGCTTCTCTGTTGCCGGTTGTCAAGACAATGGTGGATTTTCCAGAGAGCAGCGAGCCTTTATTTGTTATATAAAGCCAAATAACGTTGTCGTAGGGCTTCTACAAAACATGTTCTGGGTTCACCACAGACTTGAGAGGCTGCAGTGTTTGCCGAGTTCCGTCATTTACTCCAGGAGCTGCGTACGGAGGAGTTTCGCTTTCAGCGGTACTTCCCCATATCACTGGAGTACCCGCAACCCGGAGCTCGCCTCTCCCCGCCTCTCGCTCGCCTCCCCCCGCCTCTCACTCTCCTCTACCCGCCTGGAGCTCCCCTCCCCCCGCCTCTCACTCTCCTCTACCCGCCTGGAGCTCCCCTCTCCCCGCGTCTCTCTCCCCTCTCCCCGCGTCTCTCTCGCCTCTTCCCGCGTCTCTCTCGCCTCTTCCCGCGTCTCTCTCGCCTCTTCCCGCGTCTCTCTCGCCTCTTCCCGCGTCTCTCTCGCCTCTTCCCGCGTCTCTCTCGCCTCTCCCCGCCTCTCACTCGCCTCTCACTCCCCTCTGCCCACCTGGAGCACCCCTCTCCCCGCCTCTCGCTCCCCTCTGCCCGACTGGACCTGCCTCGCTCCCGCTCTGAGCCAGACTCATAGTCAGCTTATTCTTATATTAAATACTTCACAGCATCTGTACAATGATTTTGTTACGTACTTATTAAGAACTTTACTATCATACAAATAATATTACTAATAAGAATACTGACAATAAAACAGCAGCAGCTACGTGACTTCTCTCCATGCTGCTCCTCGTCTTCTGATTGGTTGAAGCCTGCGTCAAAGCTTCAAAAGCTCAGCTTTGCTCAACTTCGGCGTCAAAGGTTTTTTGATGCCGAAAAAGACGCGAGCGTTACACGCGTCAAAAGCTTCAAGTGACGCGTGTATTACTCGCGACTTTTGAAGCTTTTGACGCGTGCCAAGTGACGCTGGGCTTCTCTGCGTCACCTGACGCGCTTCACCATTCACTTTCAATGCAAACCATGAAACTTTTGAAGTTAAAGCTGCACTAACTGACTTTGGGATTTTGAAGCCGCGGACCCGCTGGCCTTGCTCTTTCTGCTCCCCTCCCCGCACCCACGAAGCTATCGCCCCCCACACACACCCACTGTTGTTGACGGAGCTAATCTCCTATAATGGATAAATCCATGTATCGTACATTTAAGCGTGGATGGCGTGACCATAGAACGATAGAACCGGGAAGCGCGGAGGAACAGGACTTTCTTTTGGATGGCTGTTTCGCTGTGTAAGCAGTAACCGGTGGCGAAGACGAGGAAGTTTCAGGTGAGCTCCGCCGCTTTTTGTGCTAACTCAGCCGTCTATGCTTACGGAGACCTGTAGATTTCTCACGAAAGCAGATCAATCTGGTCCCGAAACACATTCTCTTCCTTGTTTCATCAAAACTCGATCTAAAATATAATATAACGCCAGCACAAATCTGCGCTACTTTTTCTTCAAAAGGACGTATATCCCAATGCACTGCATGGACATGGATGAAAGCAGCTTCACACTCCATTACTCAGGTTGCCTTATATGCAGACGAATCCAGCTGGGTCAGTGGGACCATAATGAAGAGTTTTGTTAACAATAAATCTATAACCAACAACGTTTTCACAAAGGCCACGATAGAAATCCTGGTTTTATTCCTTGTTTTGTCATTAATGATTTGAGAATCATAACAAGACATCTTCTACTTCTGCGGCCACATGTTACTTTACCAGTGAGATTAGCTCGACGCGGTGAGTTCTGGCAACCCGGATCACAGACTTTCTGATGGTAGAACGGTGGAGGGCTGGACATCGAAATGAAAACAATAACACGATTTAGGGGCTGTAAAACAAATTTTTAAATCCAAATATCTCGGTTGAACAACTGTTATCAGTTAAAGTAGTATTTGAAAAGAGAATGTTTTATTTATGCTTTTTGACAGATTAGGGCCATTTAATGATGACTTGACATGAAAATCTTACATAGAACTACTTTAAATAGCATTGTTTTTTATTTGATTCATGTTTCAGAGTCATTTAAAGTCAAGCTTAAGTCTACTGCGTGACACACCTACTGCTTTTACTAATTTTGCATATTTTCTTCTGCAAAGTTGATGCAGAAGATTTGGTGGTGCCACACATTTACATTTTGCTGTGTGCTCCTCATTCATACTGTCTGTAACTTGTGATGCAGCACTGCCATTTCCCCTCTGTAGGACGAATAAAGGATCTCTAATGGTTAACTTTATCCTCTGACACCCGGTAAAGGGGCAGAGCCAGAGCCATACGGTGGGACTGAATACAAAAATGTGGAGACTTCTTTCTTTTATAACATTGTTTTAGTTCAATATTATAATGCTCTACAAAAAAATACTAGCCTAGCTAAGACCAAACAATATAACGTGGATATTCACTGTGGGAACCATCTCATAGGGGAGGTGTGTTTTACGATTGTCCATAGACGTTTATTGGGGAGTACAAATGTCTATCATAGGCATCTGCTCATAGCAATTCCACCTGATCACGTGTTGCACGACACAAATATGACGAGACGTGAAGAAGCGGAATAAGACGATTGCTGTTCACTCAAAGGTGCAGAACGACTACTGCCATTTGTGCAACTTAAACATGAACACTGTCTGAAGCTGGATCAAAAGAGAGCTGTTCATTTACTCCCGTCATGTTGAGTTCACAAGCCAACTACGAGCTTCTGTCAAACAGTGTGTCTTGATGTCCCCCTCTGTTCTGTGATTGGTCCCCAAATCCATGCAATAAATTTGGCTAGGGTTTCCAGGCAGTTGTGCAGTTCAAAATGATTTGAGCGCACACAAAGTTAATCACTTACAGTTACTACACGGTAAAGCAGAAAGTTTTCTTACTTCAAGGCAACACCATTTATTAGGTTGTATAATGCTGTTCAGATTCTCTGTGCAGTAAACACAGCGGGTGGTTGTTTAATTGTTTTTCTCCTCTTTTTCACAGGTGCAGTTGTCCTTTAACACAGACACTTTGTGCTGAGGAAAAGTCCCCGTCCCGCTGACTTCACAGCTGCTCTCTGCGTCTCAGGACAGACGTCAAACTCTGGTGTCGTAACGTCATAGAAGTCAACGTTTACCCTCAATAATTCACCCAGACCAACAGATAACAACCAAAATTATGCTTGAAAAACTTATATTATTTAGAAAGATACTAATTAAATACTTGTCGAATGATGTCAAAGACCAGTCGAATGTACAGGAAGAAAGATGAATTTCTCTGTGAAAAAAACATGAAAACTTAGGGCTGTGATCTTATTGCAAACTAATTTCCAAACACTAGATTTGTATTTAAATTATGGCGGGGAAATCACTGCGCTAAACTCATCACGTTATATTTATATTTACATGATACAAAATAAATGAATGCATAATTGATTTCAGGCTCTTCTATCGAGTAACGCTCTCCTCTCAGTCTCCCCAGTTTTCAAATTGTGATGAAATATGGTAAATAAGTCACGTGAGGAATGAGACGCTGCTATTTAGTACATTTTATTGAACAGAATCCAGGTCCTTATTTAAATGAACAAAATTGGATACATCTGTCACAGTTTTGAAGAATGTATAGTTTTTAATGTGGTTCTCAAATGTAATAATGATTTAAACACAGATAGCTAAAAACCACAGGTTTAGTATCCAGCTCGAGTATCCAGCTCGAGTATCCAGCTCGAGTATCCAGCTCGAGTATCCAGCTCGAGTATCCAGCTCGAGTATCCAGCTCGAGTATCCAGCTCGAGTATCCAGCTCGAGTATCCAGCAGGAGTATCCAGCAGGAGTATCCAGCAGGAGTATCCAGCAGGAGTATCCAGCAGGAGTATCCAGCAGGAGTATCCAGCAGGAGTATCCAGCAGGAGTATCCAGCAGGAGTATCCAGCAGGAGTATCCAGCAGGAGTATCCAGCAGGAGTGTCCAGCAGGAGTGTCCAGCAGGAGTATCCAGAATCTGTTTGATAGCAGCGCTGTCCTGTGAGACAGCAGATCATGCACTCGATGATAAAGCCACAATAAATCAAACTTTTTAATAAATCACATTAGTTCTCTTTAACAGCCCAAAACAAATACATATATGGGTTGTTTTCTTTACAGAGAAATTATATTTTTTGATATTTAATAATTATGAGACAGTTCTTCACTGTGAGAATGACTGATACCGTAAATACTGAAGACTCAGTCTTATCAACACTAAAGAAAAACAGACCAGGACTTGACTAATCCGGGACTGTCAGTACCCTGGGCCTTATTTTGGTCTAAACTTGTACAGATTATGTAAAATGTAATATTTTTTAAATAAAGTGACTGTTTCAACCACATTGGACTCTGAAATTTACTGTGAATGCACTTCTTTTAACTTTCTGTTTCTCAAAGGAGAATACAGCAGAGTATACAACTAGACTAACATGAGTTTTAGGAAAACATAGGGGTTAAGAGACAAACTGGTAAGGGAAGGGCTGAGAATATCTGGGAAATAGAAGATGAGGTTTGGTGTTGTGTGATTTTATAGAAGGAGGGACAGGAGGGTGCTAGTCAAAGTCACCTCCATCATGGACAACACCTCCCACCCACTGCACAGGACTGTAGAGGAGCTGAGGAGCTCCTTCAGTGGAAGACTGAGGCACCTTCTGTGCAAGAAGGAGCGCTACCGCAGGATCTTTATCCCCACCACTGTCAGACTGTACAATAAGTCCCTTTTATCGTTCATAATTACATCCTGCACTGACAATATTTTTAACCTAAACATGCACACTTCTGTCTTTTGCACAATCCGAGTGATACTATCTGTGCCAAATGTGACATGTACATTTCTCCAGTGTGAGATCAATAAAGTCCATCTTATCTGATCTTACTTTACCTGCAGGGCCATGTTATTCAGATCTGAAAAACATTTAATCCATGAATGATTAAGAAAGATAATTGTTGCTATTAATTGTATATTATCAACACATAGACGAAGCCAAGGGAAGTCCTTAAAGGGGAATGTTACTGGAAAAGAGAAGGTACAAACTGTTTACTATCATTTCCCAGAAGTCCCAGAAACTCCTGGACATTTGCTAATGATTTGTTTATGTACCCAAGGTTATTCCCAAAGTAAAATTCCGGTCGGTTTTACATAAGTCCCAAGGAGAAAGTTCAACTGGATCTGTAGGTCACGGATCTTTGGATGAGCAAAGTATAAAAGCTAGTCCAAAATGGCTACCAGTCAAAATCAACAGGAGACTTTGAAAACAAGCCCTCCATTTTTGATCCAATGCTGTGAATTAAACAAGACACTTTTTATTATTCCATGTAGAAGATCAGAGTCCCGTCCTGGTGTTTTATCAGTTTAGCCTCAGGCACAGGTAGATAACATTTGAATTGCAAATCTTAATCAAAAGATATGCAGAGATATTGAAATATTGAGATGTGAGATGCACCTTTCATCAGACATGAAACTTATCGGAGAGCACTAAACCACGGAATTGTAAGCCCAAAATGGAGAGTGTGACACAAACAGTGACTGACATAGGAGTTTACTTTTCAATATAACTCAATAGGAGCCAGAGAGAGTTGGAGCAAAACTTTGTCCATGAGCACTTTCCTATTGGCCTTCATTGAGCTGGGATTATTGTCCATCTACATACACTCTGTGATTCAAATAAAAGGAGTTCTTGTTTTACCCAATACGTGAGTTTTAATGATTAAGATTTTTTCCTTAATAAAAAACACAGAATTAGAAGAGACCAACATTAAATATGACGAGATCAGAACAGGATCGGCTTGTTCTGTCAAGGTGGGGTTTGGATGAGTTTATTCCCCAGTGCAATCAGAATAGCACAGAGGCGTGGTTTTATCTGTGATGGAGGAAATAGCATTTATAGGAAAGAGCAACCAGTGAACAATTTGCACTTGTTTTATGCTCTAGTGCATCAACCAACAAATATCGTCATTTCTCCTCAATATGGCAGTAAGTGACATTTTGTGACCTTTGTATTGTGTAACCTTGTTTTGTGTTACTGTTCTAGTGTATTGCTTTTGTATTCTCTTTTTTTTTTTTTGTTCCACATTGTCTGGTACTTTTGCATATGTTTGGTATTTATTTTTTTCTTTTTATGTAATAACAATGGCCGAGAGGGGATACAAAAATAATATAATAATATAAAAATGGTAAAACTCAAAACAGTGAGAGCAACTGACCCAATAAAAACAAGACAGTGAATGACGGTCAAAAATGTAATTACAAGTATTAAAAACAATGTTAAAACTCAAATTATGAAAGATAATAAAAAACAAAAAAAGGGGTAAGCTCAGTGGAGCAGCGGCTTCTGCTGCACACAAAGTTACATGGGGCAAGCAACGGGCTCTGGGCGCCCCGTAAGCCACACTTTTTCATACACACTCTCTCTCAGCACTCACACTATATACTCCAAGACGCGCTACCGTACACAAACACAAGAACACACACGTTACCCTCTAAGTGCTGCACATTGGAGAAAGACACTTGTACACAGTAGCCTAGTAAGTAACCCCTCTTCTCACTTTTATCTTTGAGTTAGTAGTGTCTTTGATTGACAGAAAGATTAAGCCAAATGGCATCAAATGAGGGAAAGGCAGATTTCCTGTTTTGTGCAGTTAGACACTGTGAAAAAGGTCATCTGCATGCTTTTACATGTTTTATTACATAATGTGATGCTATCTTTTATCAGGCCTCAGGTCAAGCCATAGACCCATTTGTTGGTGTACAATTAATGAAAATTGGTCTGAAGGAGTACTGTTATAAATTTGCGGGTAATTGTTTTTATACTTTCTTAATCTATTGTTTCATCATTCATCTTAACCTAAATATCAACATATTACTTTAGTGCATCAAATTGACAAGGAGATTTTTTGTCAGCTGACTGAGAGGGACTTGGATGAGCTGATCCCAGTCGTCGGCCACAAAATCAAACTCAGAAACCATCTGGAGAAAATTAAGGTATGTAGTGACTGTGATTCTATGTGGCTGCTGAATGAGGAGAAAGGGTCCGGTACCTTCATGACGCGGAGCTGCGTTTTAAGGTGACATTCCATCAATAGCGGTTTACAACACACTCATATATAGGCAATATAAGTACGTGTACTAAAACTCCAAAAAACAAATGGTCAACAAAGAAATACTGCTACCCAGATCCCACTTCTCACCTGAACGCCACTGTCCGCTATTTTTAAAAGATCCTAGGCATCCCGCCAGAGCTCATGTAATGCACGCACCTTCCCAAACTAGTTTAAATGCTCTTGTAGTTTTCTAAATGTCTTTATTTTTATTTCATTTATAGCACTGGAGGTAAGAAACCATTTCCAAAGTACTTTCTGTACTTGGTTTGGATTTTTGACTTCCGCAATCTTAAAGTGATATTATTATTATTTATCTTTATTAAGGACACAATACAACACGGTCCATAGTTAAAAGATAATATCCAATACACTCAGTATATTGCATATTGAAAAAGAAATGTATACAGGAAAACAAAACAAAAAAAAGAGAACATTACAGCTGCTGTACAGTATAAAGGCATGACCTCCAATAAGTCCATAATTTGGAGGTGAACAGCAGTGAGCAGAACTCTGGGCTGACCAGAGTCTTAAAAATTGCATTTATAGAGTTCCTCTATAGATTGTCTGGAGTTTGTCAGAAAAAAGAGAGAGAGGTACATGATTTGAAAAAACGACCCAAGCTCCCTCCCCCTTCCTTTCTGATTGGTCTTGAAGCCGCGCCTACTTTTCCGTGTACGCGCCAGGTCCAAGACGTTCGGAGGAGAGATTATTCATTTAAATTTTTGAATAATTAATCATAATGTATTATACAGGTCCTCACTGCAGCATTACAATGCTCCATTGATTTGAATGTAATTTCAAAATGTTCAACCATCATTATTTCTTGATAACGGACTCTCAAACCAATAATGACCGCTGCCGTTTGAGCACTCTGTGCTTGTAATTCAGGTGTGTGAAATACTAAGATTACTCCGGACAATAGTTTATACACAACGGGCTTTCAGCGCCTGTCACTTATTACTTCTGTCTGAGCGAGAGAAGCTATCAAAGCTAGCTACGCTCAAAAACACAAATATCAATCAATCAACACATTTAAATGTTAATCGGAGAATACATTATACATACTGTATACATTCTTAACACACGTTTAGTTTATATTCGGGTCACTCACCGCTGATGTTCAGAATTCTTTGTTCACTTTTCATGTAGTTCCAGAGAGTTCTAGTTAGTTAGCTAGCCTAGCTGTTACTGTCAAGCCACATCACGGAGAAACATTTGGGAACTAACTATTTTATATCATTTAAAAAAAAGATAATGTCCATTACAGCTTCGAATATTAAGGGCTGTCTAATATTTGTCAGAATATAAATATTTAATATTTGAATTATATACGAGCACGAGCGTGATGATTGACAGCCCTTGGCATCACTTGATTGGTTAACGTGGACGGCATTGTGGATTTTGAGCTATAGCTCAGAGAAGGGAAGGCGGGACTTACCCGTAATATTATTATTCATAAAATTACTCTTTTTATATCATTTTTATAACATTTAAGGCCAGGAGGTCAATTTAACACAATTCTTAAAATGTGTAATTCATTTAGAGTTCCAGACTATCACTTTAACTCTCTCACATTATTCAAATCAAGACTCAAAACTCTCAACCAATTTAAATAGTCTTGATTTTTTTCTAAATGTCCTTAATGGTGTTTTATATCCTTGAGTGCTCAGCAGGGAACTAAAACTAATCAAATACATTATGAGCAATCCCAACCTGCACTTAGTTTGTAGAGTTTGAGAAGTCCTCCCACAGTGTCTATTAGGAGGATTTTCCTTTGTTGAGCCAGGAAGGTGTTCTCCTGGATGAGCTGCAAGTCAGGGCATCTCTGCAACAAGCCCTGGATAAAGCAAAGCAGAAAATAGTCAACACAATGTGATATTTGTCTTATGGTATCGATTGGCTTTAGGTTTTCCAATACCATGATGTGTAAATTTTTTACTAATATGTTATTAAAGTGAAAGTGAAAATTATCTTTAATCGACAGAGAGAAAACAAAGATAGAATCGGAGGCAGTGCCCAGGTAATTCCACAACAAGGATGTAATAGCATGTATACTGTACCTTGCTGGCTGCACTAATTTTGTTTCCACAGCCCTCTACCAGTCGGACACCAGAACCTCAAACTTCATCTGCTGGAAAGAGGAAACTAGATCCAACACTAAATGCAAACGAAAGACAAAAAAGACAAAAACTTGGTATTTCAAAATTAAAAACAGCATGTCATTGTATCAGATCAACTCACATCTTGTTTTTTTAGAGAAAAACCTGGATGCCGTCAAATGCATAATGGCTAAAGTCAATAAGAAGATCACGGACGCAGGAGGGGATGATGGCTCTATTTTAACGTTTTTAAGGTTTGTTCAATTTGATCAGGCAAAGTTTGATTGAATTGTTCATTGAGTATGCCATTTTTCACAATTCCTGAAATCGAATCCAGGTGCTTTCCATCCTTATTTCCGACTGATAGATAGTTTATTCGTCACCGAAAATTTTAACGACAGTCAATGAAATAACTAGAAAACAATTCCTCTGTCCTTAGTTTTGTTTAAGCTTTCAACATACCAACAATACGGTTCCAATAAGTGTTAATTTGGCATATGGCCTGTGGGAAGAAGCTCCTTTTTAGTCTCTCAGTTCCTCCTCCCAGAGGGGAGCCGCTGGAACAGCTCATGATGGGGATGATGAACGTCCACCATTATCTGCTGTGTCCTCCTCACACCACCCTTCAAGTACATCTCAGCACAGCGCACCACCCTCCTGAACCACTTCTTGTCCTGCTCATGGCGCTCCTGTACCACACTGTCAGACAGCCTGATGCAACGGACCGCACTGTAGCACAGAGGACCTTCTTCTGGCTGAGATAAACTGCCTCAATTTACTGAGGTGCTACAGCTGCTGCCTGGACTTCTTTACTAGAGAAGACAAGAGCAGATCATACCCAACAATTGATTACTAAACCCAACCCAGAAATTGATTAATAAAGGGGTGAAAAGGATAAGACATGACAGAGTTTAAAGGCAAGTATAAACCTAACCCGTATAGGAAATTCATATTAAAAGTTAATAATAGATTAGATAATATTCATAATCTAGAGCCACACAGGGGCACTCAATATTCATTTATTTATTTAAGAATCTGTTCAAATACTTGCAAGACATTCAGCTCAAAGAGTTGGTCAATTGCACACACAAAAATAACAATGAAAAAATAATAAAAATAAGAATACAAATATTGACAAAGAGTGCATTCAGAACATGATGCTCAAAAGGAGTAGGAGGAAGTTTAAAACTTATTGATTCCTACCCGTCTTAAATGGTCTAATATATATATTTACATGATATATCCGGAATAATTTCAATATACAGATCATTTCAAATAAAACAACAGAAGTTTAACATTATAGTCGCTAAGTTTCTGTACAAATCATTGCAGGTCAGTAACTTAAACATGGCATGGTCAGAGTAAGTCAGCTGTTTATATGTAAACAACACAACCACATCTGCACACATGAATCCAACACAAGTGACATTACTCTTTCCAATATTGCATAAAAATGTGTTTTTTATATTTCTTTTTAAAATGGATTATATTTTTAGATAATTTTAGTTCAACACTGAGACTATTCCATAATTTAACATCACAACTTGAAATGCAGAAATTCTTTCTTACTTTGCGGCATCGCCTCATTTTAAATATTAAATAAAATAATATAAATATAAAGCCTTTGTAAATGTGGCTTATTGGATAATAATTATATAAATAATGGATTATTATTATTATTATTGGAATATAATACTAATACGTTTTATATAGTGTTTTTTTTAGACACTCAAAGACACTTCACATGTTATCATTCTTTCACTCACGTTGGTGACAATCAAAACTAAACTGTCGCCACAGCTGCCCAGGGGCACACTAACAGAAGTGAGGACACCAGCCTGTGCCATCACCATCCACCACCACCAACCATTCACACATACGCAATGTGGGTGAAGTGTCTTGCGTAAGGACACAAGCTTTAGCTAGAGAGCGATCTTTCACCCTCGAGAGGCAGTGAAACGCCCGGGTCCACATCTGTGACGATTTCAACATCAATGATGACGGTTATATTATATACCAACTGAGCTACTGTCGCCCCACGGTTAAATATATTTTAAATTTAAAATGGTTCGTAAATACTGTCATCAAAACAGGTAAACCAATACACAATAAATATGCTGGTTGTTCTAAAAAACAAAAAACAAAAAAAAACTATCATTCTAAAATCCAGAGGTGAAACAGCGAATCATTGCACAAAGCAAGCTCCCGAGTCCAGCGTATGTCTGTGGTTTGGTCCCGCGTCCACCACATGGAGCTATACTGTTTTTCTGCTTTCGTCAGCGATTAAAACTGTTAAGATCATGTCAACTTGGAGAAAATGTTTTGGGTGTAAATCTGTGACGCACTATTTGGCCCGAAGAGGAAGACAGCGGCTCGACTTTTTTCACAAGGATCTGCCTCTGTTTAGATGAATGTGTTCCTCTGCAACACTTCACTAAGACTGGTCTAGAACTACAGAAACAATGGAACTGGACTTACTCAAAAACTGATCTGGAAACCAGTGTTATTCCCACAATAAAAGACGCAAACACGAAGCCCCGACCTGTGAGTACAGTGACGCTAACTTGTATACTTCTGTAAACTAAATAATTAGGTCCTGATTGTGGATCGAGGACATAGGGCTTAATGTAACGGATTTTCCTTGTTGAAAAAAGTTAATCTCTGGTCTTAAATGACTGTGTACCAGCAAATCGAAGAGTTTGCTTCTGGCAACTGGCAGCGTGAGGCTACGTCACCGCGCGGGCGGGGGGAGGCAGGCTCACGGACAGAGGAGCATACTTCTCTCTGGACCAGCCTGTTTGAGTTGAGGTGACTTCACCGTTATGCAAGAAATGGCAATATTCTCACAAGTTTTTTAGTGTTGTATGGTGTATCACTCAAATGTGATACACATGTGATAGGATGTGTATAATATCACCATATTGCGCTCATGAAGAAGAGCGCAATATGGCACCTTTAAACTCAATAACTTTAGAGAGGCTAGCATTGCAGTTCTGAGTCAGCTTATTATCAATATCCTCCCTTTTCCTTTCTTCTCAAACTTTTCAGTTAGCATTTTAATGGCAGCAAGAATGGCATTACCCGACCCATCTCCTTCAGTTGTTCTTGGTAGTTGGTGAAAATATGCTCCTTCAGAGGGAGTAGCAAGGACCTAGTCAGAAGATTCAAACACCCTCTTGGACTTCTTTGGCTTTCACACAGCGCTCCTAGCAGTGGCCAACAGCATTGCTTAAATGTGCTTATGTTTATTAGTTATTATGTATTATTATGTGTATTAGTTTCTGGCTTTTATAGAGGGATCCTACGGTCACGTGACTAGCAGCCACGGCAGCCATACTGGAGGACAACCTCGGCGAGTAACAGCCCTGCTAGCTATCTATAACTGGACGTTCAAAACTAGAACTCTCTCGAACTACATGAAAACTGAACAGAGAATTTGAAACTTCAGCAGTTAGTGACCCAAATACAGTGCCTTGCGAAAGTATTCGGCCCCCTTGAACCTTTCAACATTTCGCCACATTTCAGTCTTCAAACATAAAGATATAAAATTTTAATGTTTTGTCATGAATCAACAACAAGTGGGACACAATCGTGAAGTGGAACGACATTTATTGGATAATTTAAACTTTTGTAACAAATAAAAAACTGAAAAGTGGGGCATGCAATATTATTCGGCCCCTTTACTTTCAGTGCAGCAAACTCACTCCAGAAGTTCAGTGAGGATCTTTGAATGATCCAATGTTGTCCTAAATGACTGATGATGATAAATAGAATGCACCTGTGTGTAATCAAGTCTCCGTATAAATGCACCTGCTCTTTGATAGTCTCAGGGTTCTGTTTAAAGCGCAGAGAGAACCATGAAGACAAAGAAACACACCAGGCAGCCAAGAGGCCCATAATCGCTCTGGATGAACTGCAGATAACTACAGCTGAGGTGGGAGAGTCTGTCCATAGGAAAACAATCAGTCGTGCACTGCACAAATCTGGCCTTTATGGAAGAGTGGCAAGAAGAAAGCCATTTCTCAAAGATATCCATAAAAAGTCTCTTAAAGTTTGCCACAAGCCACCTGGGAGACACATGTTATAGAATTACATACCCCAAAACAAGGAGAAAGCCCAAAAGTATTTGTCTTAAATCAGGAGCGTAAGTTTATTGTAACGCACGTGCGGAGGGCTGACTACACAGAAACAGCGTGCATTCAGCTCTGGCTCGCAGAGCTCCGAGTTTCCTGTTTACAAGACACACACGAAAGCCAGTCCCGCCCACAACAGATGGGAGGGGGCCACCGGTGCAGGAGGCGCATAGGGATGCAAACAGACTGCAGGATGTAGAAAGTGCACACATACAGACCGATACATATGCAAGAGGTGAAAGGGGGCAAGAGTGATCGCCATTGTCTGTAGGTGTCGGGGGGGACCCGGCTCCTTCCTGGAGCAGGGACATATGGATAGAAGCAGGCATACAGATGCAAGATACGAAAGACACAAGGGTGTGACAGACAGCAGGGGCCCTCACAAAGCTCAGCATGGCGTCAGAAGGTCGTCTCTGCATTGATAAAAGGCCTTTGACGTCCGTGTATTTGCTGCGGCTGGTTTTATGTAATTACTCCAAAAACTGTCACCACACTCCCCTCTTTTGATAATTCAAAACCATTTTTGCATTAATCAGTTAAATACCAGAGGCATCGTAATCACACCACCTTCAAGCTTGAAACACTTAAATTATTGCTGTCCAAAGTGGACAAGAAAAGAAACATGCTTGTCAATAAAAGAAAGAGCACATTATAATAACACAATGGATCCGGACAGCGATAAGAGAAGACAATATTAACATAATAAACACGGTCAGCACGGAAAGTAGTGTCAGTGTGGCCAGCATAACAGTCCAAGGGCCCATGCCGGTCTTAGCCGGGCTACGTTCGGTAGTCTTTTCCGCGGGAATACTCACGAGCAGTGCCGTCTCGCAGTCAGTGGCACCGCTCCCTATGAGCGTGTGTGGAGCGTTAGTGGTCATGGCGATGTTTGGTCTTGGAGCGGCAAGACTCTAATTGCGTTGAAGCCTTGGCCTCAGCACTCGGTTGGGCAGAGTGCTCGGGGTTTGGGGTGTGGAGACCATGGCTTGAGCACGCTCCAGATCGGCCAGGCCCAAAGCTCGTTTGATGGGAGACCTCATGACAGCACGCTTCACCATGTGCCTCATCAGGAACTGTAGAGCAGCCCTCATCTCCACCTCCTCCGGACACACGGGAGACGA